GTCAGGCGCGCCACATTGAGCAGTATGTCGACCCCCTTACCATCCCTGTGAATAGCCATGCTAAGTCACGGCGGGCTTGCCAGCAATGTGTATTGCGTGTGGGTGTGCGCCCGCGCACACTTTGAAACATTGTTCTTGGCAGGGGTGGTGGGCCTGCACGCAGCAGGCATTCTGCCGCCCCCCCCTCCCGCCGTCCCCGACAGAGTGCAGCTGGCATGCGGTTCGAAAGGGGCGGTGGGCCTGCAAACGGCAGGCACCAGGCCGCCCCCCCGCCGCCCCTGTCAAGAGCCATGCGGCGTGACGCATGGGCGGCCGATGCCGCTTCGACCACTCCCCCCAGGCCCAAGGGCAGGCCGGGGAAGGGCGAGGCCGGCGAGGGTCGAGGCCCCAAGGGAGGGCGGAAGGGGGGACCCGCGGAGGAGCACGGTACGGCCCCCCTCTGGGTGGCGCGACCCTGGTGTAGGGGCGCGCACCCCCCGAATCACTGTTGTGCCATCGGCTACGCGGGGACGGCGAACGCCCCGACCGCGGAGTTGCCACGGCGCCTGCGCCAGCGAGCCGTTCGAGCGGATCCGTCGACCGACGAGGATCAGCTGGGGTTTTCCGTGCGCCCACCCCCGAAGCCCTCTTCCCGAAAGCAAGCGTCCTCAGAAAGTCGTCGGCGCCCGCGCATGGTCCAGATGCTGGTGCAACGGGCACTTCGTATTGCGTTTGTGAGGGACGGCGGGGGTGCTTGCACTGCACGCCGCAGGCGATGACCAGCCCCACCGCCGCCCCCGCCAAAAACGAGTGCAGAGGGGATGGGGAGTGACCGCGGCGCGCCCGCACATGGTCCAGATGCTGGTGCACAGCATATTTTGCATTGTCTTGGCCAGGGATGGTCGGGGTGTTGGTATGAACACAGCAGGCACTCTGCCGGCACCCCCGCCGTCCTTTTCAAAAACCCATGTGAAGTGATCGTGGGGCGTCCGCGCATAATCCAGACGTTGGTGCAAACTGCACTTCGTGCTGTTTTTGACAGGGATGGCGTGGGGAGGGGGGTGTTGGCATTGGCCTGGGTTTGTCGCTTGTCGGGAGGGGGAGGCAGCGTAGATTGACAAAGAGCAGTGGTAAAATCGTCCCCGGAGAGGGAAAATGGGTTTGGACGAGGAAGCGCCCTAAACCACCTACGCCCTAAAGGGTTGGTGCGATTGGGCTATCGCTGGACACATCCTGGGACGTTCTCACCTTACCTGTATGTTTTTTGTGTAAGGCAACTTCCACGGATAAGGGGAGTACCAGGGCGATTTGTGAGGAGGGGGCTTTGGACTGGAGCGTGCACTGCAGCATCATTTGCGCATCTTGGGTATACTCGGGCCCTTCTGCTCCTCATCCTCTTCCTCCTCGTTCCATCCTTCCCCCGTCCTCCCTCGCTCTTCCTCCTACCTTCCATTATTCGTTCCCTCTTTCCTCTTCTTTTCCTTCCTTCCTTCCTTCCTTCCTTCCTCCTCCTCCTCCTCCTCCTCCTCCTCCTCCTCCATTTCCTCCTCCTCCTCCTCCTCCTCCTCTTCCTCCTCCTCCTCCTCCTCCTCCTCCTCCTCCTCCCCTTCCCCCTCCCCTTCCCCCTCCCCACCACCACCACCACCACCACCACCACCACCACCACCACCACCACTACCACGGACCACCACCATCTCTTCCATCCTTTTTCCCCTCCTTCCTTCTTCCTCCTTCCTCCTCCTCCTCGTCCATCCTTCCTTCCTTCCTTCCCTCCTCCTCCTCCTCCTCCTCCTCCTCCTCCTCCTCCTCCTCTTCCATCCTTCCTTCCCTCCTCCTCCCGTTCCTCCTCGTGGCCCGGAGGCCCCCCAAGCAGGCCCCCCGGGGGCGGCCCACCGACCCCGCGGGCCTCCGCCGCATCGCCGGCCCGCGGGACGCACTGCCGCGGCGCGCCGGGGGGGCGGCGAAAGCGCCGCGGCGCGCCGGCTGGCCAGCGGGCGCTCGGAGCACCGCCGCGGCCGCCGCCGCTGCCGCCGCCACCGCTGCCGCCGCCGCCGCTGCCGCCGCCGCCGCCGCTGCTGCCGCCGCCGCTGCTGCGCTCGGAGCGCCGCTGCCGCCGCCGCCGCCAGTGGTCCTGGCGCCGCCGCAGCCGCTGCCGCAGCTGCCGCTGCCGCCGCCGCTGCCGCGCCGCCGCCGCCGCCGCCGCCGCCGCCGCCGCCGCTGCCGCGCCGCCGCCGCCCTCCATTGCGATCCCGGCGATGCAAGTTTGTTACGGCGGGCGTTTTCGCCCAGGGGACCCTCAGAGATCGATCCGCCTCGAAAAATGGAGCAGGAAGATGGGGTCTAAGGCTCCAGCCGTGAGTTCTTACGATGTTTCAAGTTTTCTCGTCGTCGGATCTCAGGGTACGCCTCCATCTCCTCCTCTTCCTCCGCCTCCGCCTCCGTCTCCTCCTCCTCCTCCGCCTCCTCCTCCTCCTTCTTCGCCGCCGCCGCTGCTAGTGATCCACCTCCTCCGCCTCTGCCAGTGGTCCTCCTCCTCCGCCTCCGCCTCCACGGGCGTTTCGCCTGAGACTTCCTATGACTGTGAAGCTTGAAAGATGACAACAGTTTCACAGATGGAGAGCGGGCCGTTTTCAAAATGTGGCTCTCGCTTTAGCGCCGCGCACATTCGTTTTAAAAGTTCGCAAGAGCTTCACGGATTGAGGGCGGGTTGTTTTCAAAATGTGGCTCCCGCTTTAGCGCCGCGCACATTCTTTTGAAAAGTTTGCAAGAGCTTCACGGATTGAGGGCGGGTCGTTTTCAAAATGTGGTTCCCGTCTAGCGCCGTGCATATTCGCTTTCAGAATTTGCAAGGGTTTCACGGATTGAGGGCGGCACTTTGTCAAAATGTGGTTCTCGCCTTAGCGCCGCGCATATTCGTTGCCAGAATTTGCCAGAGTTGCACGGATTTCCATGATCAGCGTACCAGACATGGCGTTTTTGAAGGATTCAGGATTATGCGGGGGCAACAGTTATGTTGATCCACGGTGTCGAAGTCCAGTTATGTTGATCCATGTTGTGGGGGCCTATGAACAGGGAGTTTGGAGGGAGGTCTAATTCCAACATCGTTGATGACCCTTGGGTTTACACTGGTCCTCCTCCTCCTCCTCCGTCTTCTCCTCCTCCGCCTCCTCCTCCTCCGCCCATAGTGCGGATACCAGCGAAAGCGAATTCCAGCGACTTCCTCCTCCGCCTCCTCCTCTTCCTCCCCCCCCCCCCTCAGCCGCCGCCTCCTCCTCAGCCTCCGCCTCCTCCGCCGCCTCGCCTTACAGTGTGGACACCAGCGGGGGGTTCCTCCGCCTCTTCCTCCTCCTCCTACTCCACCTCCTCCTCCGCCTCCTCCGCTTTCTTTATGGGTATCAGATTGCAGATCTCACCTTTCAGGCTTACAACGACCGCAGATGTCGAGATCGTCCTCCACCCTCGGTGGGAGGGTCGGCGTTTGGCAGCCCACAGTGACGCTCGCCTCAAGCGGACGAAGCGTGGAGGATGCCCGTGGGTGATTGTCCTCTTCGGGCAGGGAGGCGGGGCTTCTTGAGCGCGTGCGCTCCTTCTGGTTCCCCTTGCGCCATCCGCTCCTCCGGTTCCTCCTTCCGTTCCCTCCTCTTGTTCCTCACTATGATTCCCCTTTCTTTTGCTCCTCATCCCGCCTCATCTCCCTCCTCCTCCTCCTCCTCCTCCTCCTCCTCCTCCTCCTCCTCCTCATCCTCCTCTCCTCCTCCTCCTCCTCCCCCTGTTCCTCCTCCTCTTCCTCAGGCTTGTTGTATTGGATGCACTTGGGGACGAGCTTGACGTCTTCCTCCTACGCTTCGGTGCGGCATCCGGTCGTGCATCTGGTCTGGCGGTGGTGTCGGGCCTGGTGGCTGGCGACTGTGATTTGTACATGCTCATCGGGATCGGGCGCCTCGCCTTCTGGATCCTCGTCCTCCTCCTGCTCCTCGCTGCTTGTTCCAGTGTTGGTTGTATGATTTTCAGCCGCTTAGGCTACGCGGGGTGCTTGAGCCGGCGTCGAGGGCAGTTGCGCTGCTGCGGTATATAGACTTTCCTGTTCCCTTCTCCTCATTCCTCCCCTCCTCTTCGGCCTTCCCTTCCCTTCTCCGCTCCTCCTCTCGCCGGTTCTTCTTTGCTTCTGGGATGCTGCTGTAGGTAACGCCATTGTTCAGTCTCTGCCGCGGTTTGCCGCGGAGTGCACGGTTTATTCATGAGGTTTGCACGCAGGGAGGCGTGCGGGGAGGAGGTGGGGGCGGGAGTTTCGAAGATTCCAGAAACCTGCCACACAGCACTTGGCATTCTACCACGCCTCAACGTGCCAGGGGGTGCGGTGGCGGGTATTCATACAAGGACATGCCTAGGGAGTTAACGATCTGAACCGACACCCGCTATGTTGGATGTAGCAGGGCGCGTGGGTCAACAAGAACAGGATGACTAGTTATGTGGCAAGCATTGTGATCCTGGAATACTACTCGGAGTGTTGTGTTGCGCTTTTCTCTGGGGAGGCTGAGTACTGCGGCAGAGTGAAAGGAGGACGCGTGATGAGCTGTAGGGCTAGGAATAGTAGCCAGTTCTCAAATATTGTGAAGTTGAGTGCGGTATAGTGTGTCATGGTTGTTCGTTACGGCACTGAAACACACAATACGTGTTGTGCAAGAGTAGTCAGACAGATTCGCCTGCGAGTTTCTCAGAGCTTCTGCGTGCAGTCGAACAACCGTCCAGTCGTGCTGTTGACACTCCTCTGGTACGTTTGCAGCTGGAGGCCGAGACGGGGGTGGGTGCCTGGAGGAGTGCAGCAGCGCAGGGGCGCCAGCAGTCAGCGACGCAACGGTTCGACTCAGACGTTCACCCCGCCGAGTGGGGCAGTGAGCTCTCGACAGCCAGGGCGTCCGCGCGAGTTGTCCTGGAAGCGTTCTCTCTGGGGCTGTTTGCAGGGGCAGGCGGCCAGGAGGAGCGAGCGGCGACCGCCGGCGCCAGGCTCCCTCTTCAGGAGGATGCAGCGGCAGGGCCGGCTGCGGGAGCAGGAGGCCTCCCGCGCAGCGCGCGGGCGGGCTCTTTGTTGCCCCTCGAGGCGACGACGGCGGCGCTGGCGACTGCGACGGCGACGGCGGTGGGCCTCTTGAGGCCATCTTGGAGGCTATCGATCTCTGTCCCCCCCGCCTGGGGCCACCAAAGTCGGATCCTGGGGCCCTCTTGGGCCGCTCTTGGGCGCTCTTGAGGCCGTTTGGGCGGCCCTTGAGGCCAGCTTATGAGCGCATTCGAAGCGAAAAGGCGAGAAGGCAAAAATGAATGATTGTCCTCAGGGTTTTCAAGGATTGTGGCCTCCTTGGGGGGTCCTGAGGGGGCTCCGAGGGCACTTGGAATCGTCTTGTGGCCCTCGCTGGGCCTTTTGGAAGTATGTCGGAAGCTATCTTGACCCGTCTTCGGCTATCTTGAGGTATCTTGAGCCGTCTTGGAGGCCGTCTGGGAGCATCGGAGGCCCTCTTGGAGCCGTCTTGGGCCATCTTGAACCCTCTAACCCCTCCGCCCCCCTCCCCGTCCAGACCCAGGGAGGGGGGGACAGGAGGTAAACCTCCCCGAAGAGAGTTTGTGGAAGAGGAGAGAATGAACTCGCTGGTTCACCTTAGCCCAAAGGGCTGGTGGGATTCGTGCCGGAATCGGCTTGTGTTAACAATAGGTTGGGAATTCATGGCATTTCTTTGACAGCTTGCCCCTGCTGAGATGCGTTTATCCCTTCTCGTGTTCAAAGGGGGGGCATCCAAGACAGCATCAGCTCAGAATTAGGGGGCCGCATGCGAACCCTACCCCTACCCCCCACGATTTTTGAGGGGGAGGGTGGGGTGCTTTTGGCTCGGGAGCTCCCGAACGAAGTGAGCCCCACCCTCCCCCTGAGAAATCGTCGGGGGTAGGGGTAGGGTTCGCATGCGGCCCCCTAAGAACGTGGCTCCGCGCTTCCCAGACCACTCGGCCTGTGGGCCAGGCGCGGAAGGCAGGGCCACCTTGGGCTCGGGAGGGGCTCCCGTTTCCGGGCAGTTTCAGGAGGAGGGAACAAAACACACAGACACAATTCATCGTCGACCCCCCAGAAAGTATGCGAAACTACGGGAAGTGGAGGGGAAGACAAAAACCCAGACGATGTGGGAAAATATGGGGCATTTTCTTATTTGTGTGTGTGTGTTTATTCGTGTGTCCCAGGGCCCCTTCACAGTTGCCTAGATCTGGACCCGGGGTCCCCTCCGTGGCCGAGGCTCGCCGTGGCCAGCAGCGCCGCTCCACGTCCTGCTGGCAGGTCCAGCTGGCAGCCCACTTTCCCTCCCTCCGCCTTCTAATTCTCCTCTTCTTCCTCCTCTCCCCTCCTCCTCCTCCTCTCTCCTCCTCTCTCCTCCTCCTCCTCCTCCTCCTCTTCCTCCTCCTCCCCCTCCTCCTCCTCCTCTCCTCCTCTCCTCCTCCTCCTCCTCCTCCTCCTCCTCCTCCCCCTCTCCCCCTCCTCCTCCTCCTCCTCCTCCTTCTCCTCCTCCTCCTCCTCCTCCTCCTCCTCCTCCTCCTCCTCCTCCTCCTCTCCCCTCCTCCTCCTCCTCCTTCTCCTCCTCCTCCTCTTCCTCCTCCATCTGCTCCTTCTCCTCTTTCTCCTCCTGCCGGACTCCGCAGCCTGAGCGACATACATCCCCAGGCCAGAGACCTGTTCCTGCGCATGGGAGGCCATGGATCCCATCGGACTGCCGAACTTGTGTGCGAGGGCCAGGTGTATCGAGGTGGTAGGCCCTCTGGATCAAATTGTTTGGCGTGGTGGCCTCGTGGATCCAATTCTTTCGCTGGAGTCAGATATTGAGTTCTTGAATCGGACGACACACAAGGAATTGGTTCCTCGGACCTTGCTTCGGACTTGCAGGCCGATGGTAAGATTACTGGAAGAAGGGATTGTTTGGGTGCAACAGCATGCTTGTGGTCGGGGCGCAACAGCATGCGCTTGTCTTTCGGCTGTTGCTAGGGATCCGGTGTGGCGTCTGAAGAATGACCCCCCTTGTTGATAAGACCTGATCTATGGGGCGCACCGCAGCGCCAAAACCGTAAAATACCAGAGGTCCGACGTCCTGGCGTGGGCGGCACATGGGCCTCACGTGGGCTACGGTTTTTTTGTAACACATGTGCCTCGCGACCTCGCAGTGCACAGATAATGGGACTACATTGGGAAACATGTTTCAACATTCAGGGTTCGGCTTGAACAAGGAACACTTACTTTTCAAAAGGGGTTCGGTCGTTCCTTAGGTTTGCAGGCGTTCCACTACCTTATTGGCGGCGAGCCCCCCTGGTGTTCCTTCGGACTTCCTAGGCTTCCTTGGGAAAAAAAAGGGCTTCGTTCCTTATTTATCGTTCCTTAGGTCAGGCCGAATACTGTGCGCACAGACTGCGGGGCCTCCGGCAAACACTGCAGCCCGCCTGAGGCCCGCGCGTGGGCCACGTGCACGTGTGAGGCCCACGCCGGGCCCCTGGCAGTTCACGAGCGCGCGGGGCGTACGATAGCGGCGACGACGACGATGTGCTCTCGATGGTGGGCGGCGCTCAGTTGAGGGCGCGATTTCGCGACCCCTTGGCATCGCTCGGACGTGTGCATTTTTCCTCGGCGAGGACCATCGAGGAGCATCTTTGATCATTTAGCGAAAAATGCACGCACGAAATCGAAAAATGCACGGGGAATGGACGTCCGAGCGATGGCGAGACCCCCCCGCCTCCCTCCCAAGAATCCCTTTTGCCAATCCGTCCCCCCCTCTTTTTGTCCTGCCCGTGCTGGGGAACATAGGAGGAAGGACAAGAGTTATAGCAAACGTTGAGGGACGACTTCGCGTGACCCCCCTCCGCCCCCCGGCCTTCATGTTGAACAAGCGTTCCCGGAGAAGTGGGGGGGGTGGAGGAGGGATGTTGGTTCTTTCTATTTCGGGCGCTGTTGTTGAAAAGATTGGTCCTTTAACCGCACGAAAGCTCGCGCCCCTCTTTTCGGAGATAATCAGGAGACCGGATTTGTGTCAGAAGCCGCTTTTTTGAAAAGCGGATTGGAAATGCGGTGGATTTGTTTGATTTTGTTGGGATGCGTTTTTCGTTTTTGTGTTTGAAGCGGCGGCGTCGTCCAAGGCAGCAGTAGCTCAGATATGCTCGGACCATGTATCGCAATAGGATGGGGGGCGTTTTAGTGTTTGAAGTTGTTAGAAAAACACCACAAACAGAGGTTGTGGACCCGCACCCGCTTTTCAACATACGCTTGCATAGACACATCCCGCGTTCCCCAAGACGTTGAACACAACAGCGACGACGACAGCAACGGCGACGGCGACGACGACGGCGGAGACGACGACCACGACGACGAAGACGGCGACGACGACGACGGCGACGAGCGCGACGACGACGACGACGACGGCGACGGCGACGACGGCGACGATGGCGACGACGACGACGATGAGGACTACGACAGCGACGACGACGACGACGACGACGACGACGGCGACGACGACGACGACGGCGACGAGTGCGACGACGACGACGACGACGGCGGAGACGACGACGACGTCGACGGCAACGACGACGACGACGACGATGGCGATGGCGACAACGGCGACGACGGCGACGATGGCGACGACGACGACTCCGTGGCCCGTTTCGGAGTCCCGGAGCCGTGAGAAGTCGGCCCGGGGCTAAGAGTGTCTAGGACGGGCTTTGGGCAGAGGTCGAGCAGGGTGCGGTCACGTGGCAGTCGCAAGGTGCAGAGCAGGTGGTCCGTAGCCATTTGAGCTCAAGTGACGTGGATTGGTTGCCGTAGCGCTGCTTTTGTTATGCCATGGTGGCACGCTTGCACCTGAAGAGGCGGGTGCTCGGCTTCGGATTGTTAACTTGTCTGCGCGCTTTGACTAGCAACCTGCTTGTCTCAAAGTCGCTCTTTGTAATCCAGCCGTGGAGTGAGAAGGGAAGCTCTGAGGTGCATCGCCTGGTGACACTGGTGCAACGCGGGCGGCAGGCAGATTTTAATCCTGAAGGCGAAGAGGGGGAAGACTTGGGATGGCCATCAGCTTACTATGACGGTGATGAGGGCCAGCTGTTCGTTGCCATAGGCCCCAGTGATGAGCTGTTGGCTTGTGCAGCAGTTATCACCGGGACTGCCGTGGCCACCACCACGAGCGGTGCGAGTACGAGCGAGGCCGCCGTGGCAGCAATCCGGCGAGTCTGCTTGAATCCCGCAGCAGTGGTCGCTGGCACAGGTGAACGGGAAAATATCCTTGAAGCTCTGGTGCAAGAGGCGCACCTTTTTGTCCAAAAGCAGGGAATGCAAAGGGTCATAGGATTGGGCTACGACGGCACAGAGGGCTGCCAGCCATCGCCGCAGTTGCTGGAGAAACTTGGCTATGAGCAGCAAGGCAGGTTGCCTGGGTGCCCAGGTGTCTTCCAGTACAGCCAGAAGCTTCTTGCCGACATGGAGCCGAAGCGTTCACTCTTCACGGGCAATTGGAAGATGGACCTCAGCAGCAGCGACTCTCTCTGGGGGGTGCTGCGTGCGGTGGGCATGAATTTTCTGGCAATTCCACTTGTGGACCGACTCTCTGTCCAACAGGGCATATCACAGACTGAGGACGGCCTGACAATTGAGATTACAACTCCGCTTGGTTCTGACACTATGGAATTGCCGTTCGACGGCGCAGTGACCATGGTGTCAGGTGTCGCAGGTGGCAAAAACATGCAGACAAGTTCATGGATTTCGGCACCTGCAGGTGGGCAACTTCGGCTGAAAACAGTGCAGGCTGTGAAGGGCTCATTGGACCTGCCCGGGTCGTCAACACTTTTTGAGACCGTGCGCTCTCTGGGCGATGGAGATGCTACGCTCTTCGAGGATCTTGCAACGATTGTTAACGGACAGAGGGTAGCCACCGCGCGACGCGTACTGCGACGGCTGGAAGATTAGCCATTGCAGCAGCACCAGCCAGCCAGCCAGCCAGCCAGCCAGCAGTTGCAGCAACATCGGCGCGCCAGTGCATCACCGCATCACCAACAAAAGATGCAGGGCAGGTGGCACTGAGGCCAATTTCGACGGTGTGCTCTTCATCCCGCCTGAGCCGGAGGCGGCAGCGGTGCGCGAGCGGTCCTCCGTCCTGACGGTTCTCCGTCTTGGAGGCGTTCATCGTCCTGTGCTGCGGGTTCTAGTCCTCCTCCAGCTTCTACCCCTGGTCGTCCTCTGCCGCTGCTGCTCCTCCCCCTCGTCCTCGGAGGCGCCGAGGCCGTAAAGATCTGGGGGGTGTTCCATTCTGGGTCTGGTCTTGCTTCATGATGGTCGTTGCTTTCCTCGCACTACCACTGCTCATATTCCTATTTCTACTGCTGCTTTTACCACCACCACCACTAATAGCATGTATCCGAACGGCTATTACTACAACGGCGGCGACGACAACGACTATTATCATATTATTACGACTGCTACTATTACTTCTACTACTCGTACTACTACATTTACCACTACTACTACTACTACTACTACTACTACTACTACTACTACTACTACTACTACTACTACTACTACTACTACTACTACTACTACTACTACTACTACTACTACTACTACTACTACTACTACTACTACTACTACTACTACTACTACTACTACTACTACTACTACTACTACTACTACTACTACTACTACTACTACTACTACTACTACTACTACTACTACTACGACTACGACTACGACTACGACTACGACTACTACTACTACTACTACTACTACTACTACTACTACTACTACTACTACTACTACTACTACTACTACTACTACTAGAACACATACTTTTTAACAGGGGCGTTTGCATGCGTTCCGCTACCTTTTTGGCGGCGAGCCTCCCTGGCGTTCCTTGGAGAAACGGGCTTCATTCCTTATTTGTCGTTCCGTAGGTCAGGCTGAACCCTGTTCCCAAAAGAATAAAGATCTCGAGGGCGCTTGCAATGGATGAGAGGCGCACGGCGTATCCCCCGCGCACAGGCGGCGCCGATCTTCGTCGGCGTGGCCAGCGCGCTGGACCACCTCCACCAGAGGGCGGGGCCGGCGCGCTTCAGAGCGGGAAGTCGAGGCAAAGAAAATCTCACAAATTTGAACAATCGGAGCTCCATCAGCTTTTCCTTGATTTCGGCCTCCTCTGTGTGGGGGGGGGAGGGGGGGGGACGCTTCCAGGCCCCGGGGGGCCAACAAGCACGAGTCCGAGACGAATCACTACGCTGGGCAAGGGGTCGGGACCCCCTTAGCGCCCTGGGGCCCAGAACATAGCAAAGCTGCACGGATACAAACACGCGGCCGGAGTTAGCTTCTATCACAGCAGCACCCCGTTCAGCAAGCTGTTCGGGGAAGAAACACGCAGAGCTGCGGAGCGCCGCGCGGATCTCTTGGACCTGCGTGGGGCCTCCCCCGGTGGCGTCTCCGGCGCTGCCCCCATGGCGCGCCCCGCGCGCCGGGGGGAGGGGGCGCGGCGCCGCTCCGGGAGCCCCGTGCGGAGCTCCGAGTGCTGGTGCTGGTGCTGCTTTGCGTCGCGCCTTTTTCCCTGGCGGGGGAAGACGAAGCAGAGCAGCACGAGCACTCCTGCGAGTTGTAGGGAGTTCCTACGAGTCGTGGGTGATTCCGGTTGTGCTTGCGCTGTCCGGTTGGAGAAGACGAAGCACAACAGCACGAGCACTCCTGCGAGTTGTAGGGCATTCCTGCAAGTCGTGGCTTATTCCGACAACCTGCCGTTGCTGTGCCTTTTTTGGGGCCTCCTGGGGGGGGGCCCCTGTCGCCACACGGCCGGAGTCGCTCCAAAGTCTTGGTGAGAGTGCGTCGGTGGGGCTTCGGGGTCGCAGCACGGCTTTTGGACTCGGGTCAATCTCCGAGGGCGTCTCGGGCGACCGGGGCCTCCTGGGGGGCCCTCGTCGCCGCGGCCGGAGTCGCTTCAGAGTCTTGGGAAGACCGCGCCCCAGGAGAGGTCTGGGGAGCAGCAGTGGCCGCGGCCATGCGCAAGACGGTGCGGTGACGACACCGTGTGGTGAGTCGGTGGGGCTTCGGGGTCACAGCACGGTTTTGGGACTCGGGTCGTTCTCCGAGGACTTCTCGGGCGACTGGGGCCTCCAAGGCCTCAAAACCGTGCGGTGAGGGACCGTGCGGTGAGGTCGCTGGAGGTTGCGAGGTCACAGCGCGGTCTGTCACCGCACCTTGTCGGGAAATTCCAATCTCAGCATCTTGCTGTTCCGCCAGGGCCACTCTGCAAAAAACGATCGAGGATCGACGTTTTCTGCGCCATCCTGACGTCATGGCGTTGCATATTTTCTCCAACACACCTGGCGTTTTCGCCCAGTTTCGGGCCCCTGGGCCACCACATATCAATCCAGCTCTAAAGTGGCGCAGAGAGATGGAATCTAGGGCTCTGGTCGAGATGTTTTACGATGTTGCATATTTTTTCGCTAAGTCGGATCTCAGGGCCGTTCTGTTCTGCCAGGGCCACCTCGCAAAAGCGATCGATGATCGAAGATGTTGTGCGCTTTGGTGAAATGCGTCCGTGTTCCATAGCTCGTCGCGGCTACGGCTGGATTCCCCTCGAAGTTTTTGTCAAACACACACACACAGGCACATCAGGATGGGTGCAGAGGTTTCCTGTAGAGCGAAGGAGAATCGCCATGAAGGAAAAGGGGTCCTGAGGGAAAGGAGTCCTGATTCGCTGTTCCCGAACAGTGCTTGAACTAAAGGGTCCTCCCTTCGGCCGACTGTAACCGGGATCCGTTGCGACTTCGGGTGGCCCCCTGTTGCCCCGCGGGTGGTGCCCGGTGCCCCCTGATGTCCCACTGTGCTGCGATGCCTGGCGGCCGCCCTTCGGCACCCTGGGGGCTCTGTGGCCGGCGCCCGACGATGTCCCGACACGTCGCGCTTCCTGGTTGCCGGCTCGGTGCCCTCTGGGTGGCCGGTGCCCTGCGACGTCCCAATCTGCTGCGACTTCGGGCTGTCGCCCCGGTGCCACGTTGGTCCTGCAGGTGCTGTGTACGGCCGGTGTTCTGTGGGTAATTGCTTGATGGCCAGTGCCTTATGATCACGGAGCTTGTTCAGCTACTCGCAAAGTGCCTACTCGCAGACGTCTGACAAAAAAAAAGTCTTCCTATACGGAATGCATCGTAAATCCCCCGCGGCGGATCAAGACCATTTGTGAATGCGAATAGCTACTTTGCGAGTAGTGGAGCGCGCTTGCCTATACGATGTCCCAATCTGCTGCGATTTCTGGCTGCTGCCCTGGTGCTCTCTGGCTGGTGCTCTATGGCTGGCGCCATGTGGCGTCCCAATCTGCTGCGATTTCCGGCTGCTGCCCTGGTGCCTTCTGGTTTGTATTCCACGGTCGGTGCTACGTCATGCCATCTGAGCTTGCGCGTCGGGCGTCCAAGAACTTACTGTCCGGGGGTCCACGCTTGTAATATTTCGCTGTTTTCGTCTCTTCGAGGCGAGTCTTGGGCGCTGGGGCCGTCAAAACCCCCTCGGCCTGTGGGAAGGCCCCCCGTCTTTATCCCATTACCCCTCCTCTCCTCTTTCCTCCCCCTGCCTCTCATCGTCATCATCACCATCATCTTCTTCGTCATCGTTATCCTCCTCTTCCTCCTCCTCCTTTTCCTCCTCCTCCTCCTCCTCCTCCTCATCATCATCATCATCATCATTAACATCAGCATCAGCACCATCATAATCGTCATCATCATCCTTATCATCACCATCACCATCATCATCGTCATCGTCATTGTCGTCATCATCATCAGCATCGTCATCATCCGTAGTCATTTTGGCTCAAGCCATTTTGGCTCTAGCCATTTGGGCTCAAGCCGACGGGGTAGCTCAGGCGGTTGCGGCTTGGAAGGGACAGGCCCCGCGTGAGATCTTTTGTTTCATCGCACCTCGCACACAGTGTTTCATGTCTCGTTCCTCGCATTTTGCCATGGCGGGCGAGGCTCCTCCTGCTTGGGCGCAAGCCCTGATCGCGCCGGTCACTGGCCTTGACTCGGCGCTGCAGCAGAACCTAGGGGTACCCAGTGGCACCATCACGACAATGAAAGAGGACTTCACCCAGATGGCCGCGAGGCTCCACATCCTCGAGGCTAGCATGGAATCCGACCAGCACTCCACGGACGCATTGGAGGACATCGCGAAGGATGCCGAGCAGCAGGTGCGCATCAAGCGTCTTGAGGAGTCCGTTGGGAAGAGCGAGACCATGCTCATCGCGGTGACGGGCCAGAGCAGTGGTTGCAGTAGTAGTGGACCAGCTTCGAGTCGTCGCCGTCTGCTCAGCCCTGGCTCCACGAGGCAGGGCATTTCATTTCACACATCCCGAGCTTCAACGAGTGCGGATGCTCAAGAAGGTGCAGCTCGCCTCGTTCTACTGGGATTTCCTCGCCCTCTCATGGGGGCTACGCTACGGAAGGCCGCGGAGATGGTGAGGGGCAAGTGCGTCCCAACGGACCAGCAGCAGAGGGTAGCGATCAAGGCTTTCGACATGAAACGCCAGGCCATTTACGAGTTCGGCTAGGCGCTAGAGGCGTCGGATTTCCTATCGGACTTCCAGAAGATCGAATGGCAACGGCGAGCTGTTCTCAGTCAAGGTGCGCGCTTCTTCAGGGCCGCTTCCCAGTGGGATCCAACGGGCTTGGAGGTGATGTGTACATACTTCGCAGTGCTGAAGACTCAGTGCGCGTGTCTCACCTCTCAGTGCTTGAAAACAGTAACGATGCCAGTCTTGATTTGCAGCAGATCTCCCTCGATGAGTTTGGTATCGGGGCTGAGGCGGCCGCGCTGCTGAGGGCCGCCAACACTGCGATGCGCCGGCCCCTTTCGGCAGTCCAACAGCCGCCCTGACAGTTTGCAAGTGCATGAGAGTGAGACGCAGTCTTGTCGCTTTTCTCCTTCCCCCCCCCTTCCGACGGCACTTCGGACAGCTCCGACGTGGAAGACAGCAGTATGATTACGGATTCCCCTTTCTCTCCCACCCGCTCCTTCTCGATGGTGACATGGAATGCTCGCGCTCTTTTTGCGTCTGCGCTGTGCGGAGGGGGCCCTGCTAGACAAAGGTTCCGGCAATTCTTGCGGTTCCAGCTGAGGGGGGCATAATCATAATTATCAATAGCAGGTTGGCCTCTGCTTTCACGCACATCTCTCATCGGCCATTGCATGATGGCCGAATTCTTCTCACTGACTGCGTTGGCAGGGAGGGCACTCTCGGCGCAGTCAGTGTCCACATGCCGAACACGCGTCACGGGCGGCCACTTTACCGCCAAGCGCTAACGCGTATCTGCAAGGCGCCGCCTGCGCCGACACAATGCTTTAATCTGATTTGGGGCGATTGGAACTTCGCATTGGAGGACGAGGGGAGATTTGCACATGGTGGGACGAGCTGGACGGCTGGGGACAGGTGGCACACGCAATTTTTCGAGTCTAAATGCAGTAGGTGGGTGGAACAGCACCAAGCGGATCCTATTCGCGCACGCGCTTCACGGTTGGATCACATATACACTGATTTACCGCGCGCTGCTGTCCGACTTTACACTGCAGGCCACGGTGTGAAATCGGCTTCAACGTTTCGAACCGTCCGAGCACCTCTCTGTTGCTGTTGCGATACAGAAGCTTGACCGCCCGCCAGGCCCATGGGGTTCCCGATTGGCTCTGCCAGACCTCGGAGCATTGGCAGCTGGCCCAGGGCGCTCTCGAGGCCATTCCCGCTGACTGGCCCCCGCCCCGTCGTCTTGAGGCCGCGAAGGCTGTCATGCACGAACGGGCGATTCCCGCCGAGCGTTTACTGACGAACAGGCCTGCGGTGACACCAGAGGAACAGTACTACTGGGCTATGTGAGCAGTGAGGGGTTGGAGGGCAGGGAAAATTCAGGTTGTTCGCCGGGCTCTTCTCGCTCGCCCAGTGCTCCGCCAGCTATTTGACGCTGACAGAGAGACTTGCGTTGACTATGACAAGCTCGGCGAATGTGCTCGCTGGTGTCACTGCAGAGCGCTGGAGGCGCAACTCTCTCGCGAAGAGGCCGCAAGAGGGGGCGCAA